ATTTAACCAGATATATATTTAGTTATTTAATATATATATTTTTTCAGCTAAATACATGGGGAAATCATGGTGCTTATTATAACTTATTTCTTTTGTGTTATTTTCAAGTGAAAATTTAATAAAATGAAAGAATAAACGTTAACAAAGTGTGCTATATTTAACCAGTAATTTTCTATAATATGTGAAGAAATAAAAAATATATAATATTTATTTCTATGTGTTGAAAAATATATTCCAATATAGACATAATTTTAATATACAAAAGTTAGTTTGTCATATAATGCTTTGTTTATTATTTGTTTTTTCTTTTTCCTTTATTTTTAAAATATATATAGTATGTGCTTAATTTATTACGTATTGAAAATAATTTTTTGTACATATCGTTTTATTTCAAAAATAGGACAATGAATAAGAGGTATTTGTATCCATGTCATGATTATACCTTTGTTACTTATTAGAGAATATATAATACTCTGTGCACAAAAAAAGTGGAGAAATATAATTGCTCATATACATTGTGAAATGTTTTAATTATGTAATTATATGTTTATTATTAAAATAATATTATTATGAAATATATATATATATTATAAATTACCTTATTTTCATTTATGAATCTAATCTGAATTATGTTTTTTACATCATAGTAAAGTATTAGTCATTTAATACCTACAAAAAAATATTATTATTCAAGAATATTATATCATATTAGCAATATTATGAAACTTAATTTAAAAACTATTATTCTTGAAAGTAAGTAATTTATTCAAAAGAGAATATATATTATTGTGTGTGCTAATGTGTATATTTATAAAACATATACTCAATTATTATATATTTTACGTTAAATATTTTATGCTTAATAAATTATATTCATACTTATGCACAAAATTTTTATTTCTATTCCCATAAATATATAGTGCTTATAGAGTTATTAAATATTCTATAAAAATATATTTGTATAATAATTTTATATAACCCATTATTAGAATACATCGTCTAGAAAATTATTTGTCCATTTTTCATAATATTTTTTTTTTATTACATAAACAATAAAAGATAATTTAATTCTAATGTGTAACTTCTTACACTTCAATCTTATCAATAAACACAATAAGTATACAACTAATCTATTATTATAACTTATTTATTATAATATTCGCTGAAATACGTTCAATAATTTCATTAATATATCATGACTAACATAGCTTTGTATTTTAAACAGCTGAAAAATCAAGTGCGTTTTTTATTATATGTTTTAAAAAATATTTTTATGCATAATAATGCATAGTGGATTTTTTACAACACTTCATAATGTGCGAATCTCTATTTATTAATATAAATTGTATGTTTTTTTCCTTTAATTTAGTATCCCTTTTTAAGAAACGTATGGGATGCGTATGATAATTTCGATGAACCAGTAGATTTATCTAACAGAAATAAACTGTATCATGAATTTTGTAACCAACTTATAAGTCGTGTTAGAACGGATAAAAAGAAGCACTATGATTTGTGCGTAAAACTTATAAGAAATTTGAAATTATTTTGCCATAATACAGGAGAATGTAAATTTGATAGTAATGATTGTAACAATTTAAACAACTGGTTATTTATTTCCATAGTAAAAGATCAACTTATTCCGTATTTTTATATTTATATTTTCAATTTGATTAAAAGAATATCACCTAATCTATCATATCAGAATGAGTGTCTGTATTATTTCTACGGTAAAAATTATTTTGAACCACTTTCTATCGTAATTCTAAATATATTTCAGTCTAACATAGATCTTATTAGACAAACGCTGATAGGGTCTAAAGATAAAATTTACTGCAGTTGTCAACAATTTGTCTATAATGTGGTAAGAAGATATAAACACATTAATAGTATTTATTGCCATGTAGACCAGACTAAACTTAGAGAAAAGAACAAAAATACATGTTTATTTTTAAAACAATTTGAGACAACATATGATGCATATCTTATAAATGATGGATCTATACAAAAAAAAAAAGTCGAACTACCATCTTTAAAGCATGAAGACACCTTAGAGTTTGTCCCATGCATACCGGATGATGGAATACACCAGTCTCTAAGTATAAACGAAGTACAAATACCACCTGAAGAACCCGTGGAATTATTCGAAACAGAGTTGAATGATCAAATGGACTTATTCCAAAATCCTGAATATTTTACTACAAGTGTATTCATAAAAAACGTTTTACCTACAACTCTTGCTATTATCGCTGCAGCGTCTTCCCTCTTTTTTTTAATCTATAAGGTCAATATAATGTCACTTGAAAAATATGAACAATAGTGATGGAAATTTTTCATGTTGTGCTCTTCTAATGAATAAATGAACATATAATATTTGGAAATACATAAAATGGTTATTTACTTTTTTATTAGTTCACTCCAATTCGTAGCTTGTTTCGCTCCAGAAAAATAGTAAAAACAGTGAGAAATATTTATGACAGAGATAATAAAAATGAATTATTATACGACGCATATAATACTATGGATATAAGCTCATATAATAACAGATATGACATAGCATATGGAAATTTATGAACATAAAAATTCTAATATAATTTTCAATAAGTTTTTTATTATCATAATGGCTATGAATATTTTTAAACATTAATAAAATTATTATTCGGGGAAGAACACTCATCTACCAAGAATGTGATGTCATGTAAAATACAAAATAATATCATTATAAGGATTAAACACACACATTAATTATGTATATATATGTTCACTGTATTAATAAAACATAATAATACTTGTATAATATAAAGAATTAATTTTATTATATAAACTAATTGTTATTGTTAAAAGAAGAAATTAAAAACTACAAATATATGTGTAATATTATATATCATACAATTAATGAATGAAGAGTTTATTAAAGGTAATCTCTATATCAACAAAAAAATTATTTTTGAATAAGTAGAAAAAATATGTCTGCTAAATCTATAAAATAACCATGAAATTCAAATTAATCCAACGAATGTAAATATATAATGTATGTAATTTCAACAATTTAATTTTTTATGTAGCGAACATTAAGGTCTATAATAATAAAAAAATATAATATAATGAATAAACATATAAAACATATAATTCTTTCAATTAAACTAAAAGTAAAAGGATTATTGTTCTTGTTGAGATATGCACATGTAGTAATTTTATTCCCTACGTTGTAACGTATATTTTGCAACCAGTAATATATCAATGAATAAATAAATACAATTAACAGTTTTTTTGTAACATCTTATTTGAAAATAAAAATATTGATAATAAACAAAAAATAAATAAAAATTTATCAATTTTTTGTACATATATACAAATAAAAAAATTAAAAATAATTTGTGTCACTTTTTTAATATATATTATTCCTTAATACATTAATCTTATATTGTTTTTGTTTTTATTTGACTTTTTTTTATATCCCTTTTTGTTATAGTATTTTTTTATTGTGTAACATTGCATTTTTTACGAAAATATATTATTAAAATTTTATCATATAAAATTCTTTTTTTCATGAAAGAACGTATTTATATAAACAACTATTTTATATATATACAACATGTATAGCATTGTTATGATCATTCTATTAATCCAACGAAATGGTAATAAAATATATTATTACATTTCCTACATATGAACCATGGAATTTTCATATAATTTAGCAACTCAAAAATTGTTTATGTAAATTTTTATATGTTTCTATGTTAATATGAAAATTATAATATCCTGTTGTGAACAAAATCGTATTTTGTCTTTTTCCTTAAAATAATATAATAAACAAAAATAATTTAATTAAAATTTATTCTCAAATTCATTAATAATTAGATTTAAGTATTATTGAAGCATAAGATATTTAAAGATATATTATTATTCATATTATTTCCATAATAAAAACATTTAACAAAATAGTTAAAAATAATGAAATATTCATTCATTTTTTTATTAGTACAATGTTTTTATACATAATATATTTTTCATTAAGAAGATTTAGTTAACATTTAATTATATTCTTCTGGTTTTATATATAACTACGTCACTTTCGATACAACAAAGTATTTACAAGCGACATTGACTTACAGAATAACTAAATTTATAAATGTATTAATAAATAATCTTTATTTCACAATAATCACAAAGTTTTTATATAAACTATGTGATTATTGTTAGTATAATATTTAAGAAGTAGGGATGCAAATAAGAAAAATAAACAATGTAGTAATATACTATTAAGACCTATGTTTAAAAAAATTCCTATATATATATATATATATTTAAAATATTTTATACATTTATGTAAATCAAGTTTTATAAATAATATTCATTTATATTTTCATTATGTTAAATAATGGATTAATTATATTTTCCACTATTATATCATCTCGTTCTATGCTCTTGAAAAATAACATAACTGCTTATAATTATCCAGATTCTATTGCTTCTTTATTTGAAGTTTTAGTAGTTTTATAATATAAATGTCCAATCTATACTGTATGTTATATATTTCCACAAAATATAACTTTATATACATATTCATAAAATATAAAAGAAGGCTTATTCTCATTTTGTACTTTCTAATACGATATAATCAAATAGCACAAACCTGATTTTTAAAAATAAAATTACAATACAATATGAATTTCATAAAATAAGCCAAATTTTTATTGTAATGTTGAATTTACCCTTAAAGGGTATCTGAGTTTCATTCCTATATAATAAAAATTAAAATTGGACCCATATATGTTTATAACAAAAATTAAAAAATTTTAAATCTATATAGGACCTTAATAGAATTATAATAACATTATGCTTACTTGAATTTCAATCTAAAACTATATTATGAGTAAAATTCCTTTTTTTTATGTTTAACATCCTGAATCAAGAAGATCACACAATTAGGAATAATTAAAAACAATAAATATGTAAGCTTACGAAAACTAAAATAAATCAACAAACTATAATTATATTATAAATATTTATTTAAAATGCAAATTAATATAATTATATAATATTGCTCATAAAATTAAATGCATCATAACATCTTTCACTAAAGTTTTTTATTTCAATATTCTTATATATTATAGAAATAAAATATCATTACCATGTGTTCTATAGAGCGCATTGAAAAACTATAACTTTTGAATATATTTATAAATTTAATGAACAATTTTTAATAATAATTTAATGAATTATCGATATTTAACTTCAGATCTATCTAATTATACTAGGAATTAATAATATATAAAATATGTAATTTATTAATATTTAATGTAAATATTATCAGGCCATAGTTTTAGTTGAATAATGATTTTTACGTGAAATTTTCTTTCAATACAGAAATCTGTATGATCTTATTAATTATGCAAATGCAAAAAATAGCAAATTTCTTTTATATTATGCATAAAAAAATAAAAAAATTGTCTTTACATAAATTACCATATTTATGGTAGTGACATAATTCAGTAAGTAATATTTAGTATGTAAATATGCTTTTTGCATAAGCTACCTTTATATATTTTTGTTAATAGAATGATTTTAAATTTGGATAACATTATCTATATTTGAATGCTGTATACACTTTTATATCTCTTGAACAACATGAACATTCCATTATATATTTATTGAATTTTATTAGATGCCATTAATTTATAATATATATTTGTTCTTTTATACGAAGCATCGATAATATTATAAAAAAATTTTTGCTACATTCGATAGGAATATTATTATTTATGTAATATACTTTATAGTTAATTCATTAAAATCAATGAAAAGAGTGAGAAATATCATCTCTCTACATATATGAGTATTAGTGAAAAAAAATAATTTATTATATTAAAATATATATTTATACAATTATAAGAAGAACGAATACATTTTTTTCTTGTGTATCCAGTAACTATTGTTGCATGCACACAATTGTATATAGATTTTAGTAAAATGTAAAATAATATTTTATGAATAACTTAAATAAATATTATTTTAATAGAAACATTGAATAAATGCTGCAATTTACATGAGTTATACTTTACTTCTCATAAAAACACACTGTAGTGTAAATATATTCCAAAAAAAAGTATTATAATAATGGAATCATATATATAATATATCAAGAACACGTATATGGTATAATATTCTTATATATATGCAAAATGGAGAAATTGTTCTGCCTCACAGAAAATAAAAAACCTATAAGTTAGTTTATTATGAAAAATGCAATGTTATCTGCCTATATATTAATATAATTAAATATGTTTATGATATCATAATATATAATATATAACTTACAAGCATGTATAACTAAAACGTTTTTATTTATATTCCTTTTTAAATTAATTTTTAATTTGTATAAGATTACATAAATACAAAAAATTTTATAAAATATCTTATCTCAGACATTGTTAATTATATTTTTGAAATTTAATAGTAAATAAATTATTCCTTCAAAGAAAAAAAATAATTAAATATATTTTAAGCAAATTTTACATAAAATATGTTTATAAGATATATTCACTTATTATATCTTTATTGTATTTTAAAGAATAATTCATGATAAAAATATATAACCAGTACAAAAATGATATTCTATAGATTATGCACTCAAATACATAACTATATTTTTCATATATGTATAAATATTCACTTTTATAATGGAATATTTTTTATAAGAATTAGTATAGTGCACATTCAAATGATACCATTTGTATTAATGAGTAATAATATTTTTAAATCATATAAAAAAAAATCAATAATAATAAATAAAAATATATTTTATTTTGATAATATCCTATAAAAACAAGTAATAATAATCTAATATAAATATCTTATATCTCTTACTCAATTAGATCAATAATTCAGTATGATAATTAACAGATTAAATGGTAGAGTATTAAAAATATAATAACTACATACGTATACTACATAATTTATAGCCATAGAATTATTGTTATATTTCTTACAGTTTTAAGAACTTATTGACACATTTCTTCAAAATTATCCTTTATTATATAGCATATCTATTATGATGTACATAGAAGTTAATTACTTACACATGCATATTATTAATTTAAATTTCGTAACAACATATTATATTGATAATATGTTTTTGTATCATTATTAGA